CCCTGCAGAGCATACATCAGCCCTCTTAGCAGTGCGAGCCCTGTGAGCCCTGCAGGCGCGCCTTTCCCTGCTGTGCCACAGTGCTAGTCCCTAGGATCCAGTTTTGTTTCCCGTGGTCCACTGATTCTTCATGATCTGCCCCTGCCTGCCTGTCTGTCCCCTTCCTCCTTTCCTTCTTGTCTTTTCTACCTCACTCTGGCCTTTTTGCCTTGGAACCAGCCCTGCCTGTTCGTACCTTAGGGCCTGTGCACCTGCTCGTCCCTCTCCCAGGGATACTCTAACGCCCTCCCCCCGTGCCTTCCCGTGGCCTCTCCTTCTCAGGCATCCTCTCTAAGCATCTGAGCAAAAGCCTCCCTTCTCCAGCCCTACCCCGATGCTCCAGCACTTTACCTGGTTTGATGCGTGGCACCCCCTGATATTTGATGTGATTTTGTCTGCTTTCCTGACCACTGTGTCCCCCAACTACAAAACGTGTCCTGAGGACTTTGTGCTGGTCACGACTGGATCCCCAGCCTTGGGGACAGGACCTGGCACCGTTAGGTGACTGCCGCCGCCGCCAGTGATCTTCACTGACACTTCAAGTGGAACGTTGTTGGTTAACAAGTGGCGTGTGGGGTTCTGATTAAGACAGGATGCAGTTTAGTCAGATTCGGATTCTGAGAGGGAGGTAGGGCCTGAGACCTCGGGAACTAGCCAAGGAGTAGTGGGAGACAGGACAGATAACTGCCCGCCTTTACTGCAAGGCAGAGTAAGTGTCTGGGAGAAGTGCTAGTCAGGGCCCTGGGGACTCGGGGGAGGGGCCGGCACCTCTGATCAGGGAAGTCAGAAATGCTACTGAGGACAAAGGCGCAATGGCAGTGCGTCTTGGATGAATGGGCCACGGCGCTTCCAGGAAGCTCAGGCACGATTGTGGAATGGCCGTTTGGCTCAGGCAGCGAAAAGTGTGAAATGAGAGTGGGTGCAGCAGCGGAGGCCATGGGGAGGAGACGGCTGTTGTGCTGCTGGGGTACATCCAGACTTCCCCCCGAGAGTGTGTATTCTCTGTGAGCATGCGGTATGTCCACTTTTATGTCTCTTGAGCTGACCGCTCAGGTCTTTCCAGTGTCTTTCCTTTTATTTTCTCATTGAAGTATAATTGTCCTAAGGGAAGAAAAGACTAGAAAGGAGACGGAGGCCTGAGTGAACACAAAGGGGTCTGAGCTTGTAGGGATGAGCTGTACCAGGAGGATCAGTTTGCAGTGTTAAAGTAATGTGGGAGGCCAGCACTGCGGCTCACTAGGCTAATCCTCCACTTAGTGGCGCCGGCACACCGGGTTCTAGTCCCGGTCGGGGCGCCGGATTCTTTCCCGGTTGCCCCTCTTCCAGGCCAGCTCTCTGATGTGGCCCGGGAAGGCAGTGGAGGATGGCCCAAGTGCCCAACCCGCATGGGAGACCAGGAGAAGCACCTGGCTCCTGGCTTCGGATCAGCGCGGTGCGCCGACCGCAGCGCGCCAGCCATGGCGGCCATTGGAGGGTGAACCAATGGCAAAAGGAAGACCTTTCTCTCTGTCTCTCTCTCTCACTGTCCACTCTGCCTGTCAAAAAAAAAAAAAAAAAAAAAAAAAGTAACGTGGGAGGCCAGCGCTGCGGCTCACTAGGCTAATCCTCTGCCTGCAGCGCCGGCACACCAGGTTCTAGTCCCGGTCAGGGCGCCAGATTCTGTCCTGGTTATTCCTCTTCCAGTCCAGCTCTCTGCTGTGGCCCAGGAGGTAGTGAAGGATGGCCCAAGTGTTTGGGCCCTGCACTGCATGGGAGACCAGGAGGAGGTACCTGGCTCCTGGCTTCGGATCGGTGCAGCACGCCGGCCTAGCGGCCATTTTGGGGGTGAACCAATGGAAAAAGAAAGACCTTTCTCTCTCTCTCTCTCTCTCTCTAACTCTGTCTATCAAAAAAAAAAAAAATTAATGTGGGAGGGGCTGGCGGTGTGGCGTAGTGGGTAAAGCCACTGCCTGCTCTGCTGGCATCCTATATGGACACTGGTTTGAGTTCTGGCTGCTCCACTTTGGATCCAGCTCTCTGCTATGGCCTGGGAAAGCAGTAAAAGATGGCCCAAGTCCTTGGGCCCCTGCACCCACTTGGGAGACCCAGAGGAAGCTCCTGGCTCCTTGCTTTGGATTGGCGCAGCTCTGGCTGTTTCGTCGTGGTCATTTGGGGAGTTAACCAGCGGATGGAAGACCTCTCTCTTTCTCTGCCTCTCTATAACTCTGCCTTTCAAATAAATAAATAAATCTTAAAAAAAATAAAAAATTAATGTGGGAGCAGGAAGAAAGGCTTGGCTCTGTCATGGGGGGGAGGGGAGAAACACATGACTGCCCCACGCCAGAGGGTGTGCAATGCAGGGACAGAGGGGTAGGGCTGGACGTCTGGGGAAGCTGAGAGAACGGCAGTGCCACGGAGAGAAGCATGGGAGAAATGGGACCACGTGTGATTGGCGTGGAGGACAGTGAGGTTGCTGTGGGACATGTTGGATCACTGTAGTAAGGATTTGGGGGTGTTCTGTGCAAGCGAGCTTTGAAATCGGAAGAGTGGCTAGCACTGAAAAGAAGGCTGAGGATGAGAAGCCAGGCAGCCTTCCTGGGGTGGACTGTGGAGGGCGCAGAAGCACGGGGCGGGAGGAGAGTAAGCCAGGGAGGGCAGGGACACAGGAGCCAAGGGTGCCCCGAGCCCCGAGCCCCGAGGAGGAGGAGGAAGTCCAGGGATGGTGGCTGGCTCAGGCTGGGCTCTGGAAGGTTCTTTGAATTGGATGGAGAGTGATGTAAGGTGATTGTTGGAGTTGATGACTAAGTGGTGTCAGGTGTCCCTAATGAGGGCCGCTTCAGTAGAGAGTGGGGTCAGAAGCCATACACAGGGGCAGGCATTTGGCCTAAGTGATCACATTGCCGGTTGGGACACTTTTGTCCCATATTGGAGTGCCTGGGTCTGGTTCCAGCCTCCACTCTTGACTCCAGCTTCCTGCTAATGGCAGGGGTGATGGCTTATGTGATTGGGTCCCTGCCAGGCAACTCCTAGGTTCAGCCTGCCTCAACCCCAGCTGTTGCGGGCATTTGGGAAGCGAACCAGTGATGGAATCTGCACGTGGGAGCAACATTGAAACTACCGATTCTGGGCCCCAGTGTTGGCAGGAAGGCAGGTGAAGCAGGTGGAAAAAAAAAAAAAAAAAAAAAAAACAGAACAAAACAGCCCACAGTATGTTTATGGAAAGAATGAGGAAGTAGAAGAGGGGGAACTGGAGAGAATGCTGTTGGATCACTGGTTTTCTCATGTTCCCCTCCTCTGTGAAATATTTAATTCTTGGGGGGGTCATTTGGCCTAGTGGTTGAGACACCCACATCCCATATTGAAGTACCTGGTTCCACACCCACCTGCATCTCCTGTCTCTAACCAGCTTCCTGCTTGTGCAGCCCCCGAGGGGCAGCAATGATGGCTCAAGTAATTGGGTTCCTACTGGATTACATTCCCAACTCCTGGCTTTGGCCCTGCCCAGTCCTGGCTGTTGTGGGCATTTAGGGGGTGAACTAGCAGACAAGAGTGCTCTCACGCGCTCTCTCTCTCTCTAATAAATTTACAAAAATTTTCTTTGACACTAGCCTCATGTTCCTTATGATTTGTAACTAGTCATTCAGTGCTATTCTAGGTGGTATATTCTACAATACAGAAAAAAAAACAAAAAGTAGAATCACATGGTAGCTGATCCTAGAATGTACAGGCTGTTAAAACTTATTCCAGGCATTGTGTTAAGCATTTTACAAGCTTATCTACTACTTAGAAAAACCCTGTACGTTTAGATAGTAAGCTTTTAGTATTCCTTTAAAAAATAATAAAGATTTATTTATTTGAAAGTCTGAGTTACACACAGAGAGAAGGAGAGGCAGAAAGAGAGAGATCTTTCATCTGCTGGTTCACTCCCCAATTGGTTGTAATGGCTGGAGCTGTGCCAACTGAAGCCAGGAGCCAGGAGCTTCCTCTGGGTCTCCCACGCGAGTGCAGGGGCCCAAGGACTTGGGCCATCTTCTTCTGCTTTCCTAGGCCATAGCAGAGAGCTGGATCGGAAGTGAAGCAGCCAAGACTCGAACCAGCACCTATATGGGATGCTGGCACTGCAGGCGGCAGCTTTAACTGCCATGCCAAAGCACCAGACCCTAGTATTCCTCTTAAAAGATGAGTCACGGGGTGGGTGTCTGGCCTACTGGTTAAGGTGCTTACATCTCATGTCTGAGTCCCAGCTCCACTTCTGATTCTGCTGTCTACCAACGCAGACCTGGGAGGCAGCAAGTGATGGCCCAAGTCATTTGGTCCCTGCCATCATCACTGCCTCCCAGGTCTGCATTAGTAAGAAGCTAGATCGCATTTCTGGCTCCTGGTTCCATTGCTGGACCAAGCCCAGCCATTATGGGCATTTGGGGAGTGAACCAGCAAATGGTGCTCTCTGTCTCTGTCTGCCTCTGTCTCTCTCATTTGGTCTTCCTATCAAAAAAAAAAAAAAAAAATGAGTCGTAGAAAGATTAGGTATCCTCAAGGTCATGTGGCTAATGAGTTTGGGACCCAGGCAGGCTGACTGGCGCCTTCACTGTGCTCCGAGTCGGATTTCTAAGCTGCCTCTCTGGCAACACTCCTGCAGAAGTCATAGAGCACTGCATTGCCTTTTTAAAGAACCACTGGGCCGAATGGTCATTGTAATGACCATAACTAACCACGGCATTGGCTTTTACAGTTTGAAAATCGCACTCATGCGTGTTATGTATCATCCCTGTGAGGCTTGCACCCACAGGCAGGACAGGACAGCTTGAGTTCCCGGATCTCTACATCTTTAGTCTTTGGAAGCCTGCGAAGTCTTGTCATTCTGCAGCTGTGATTAGGCCAAAGAGCTGTCGTCTTTTTTTTTTTTTTTTTTTTTCCTCTTAACTGTGCTGGGCTCCTTTTCCTCCAGGAACCTTGCCACACACCTTCTGCTTCTTTTCCAGGTCACAGAACTCTGTATGTGGGGGTTCGGATGCCACTGGGCCGGCAAAGCCATCGGCACCACCGCACCCATGGCCAGAAGCACCGGAGACGAGGGCGGGGCAAAGGAGCCAGCCAGGGGGAGGAAGGCCTGGAAGCCCTGGCCCACGGTAACCCCCTCCCGGGGGAGGGCCTGGGAGCTTGGGGATGCCATGGGAATGTGTGACAGACACAGCCCTTTCATAGGGTTTCTTCTTTCTTCCAAGAGAAGAAACGCTCAAATAGTAAAAACTCTCCACGTGAAAACTTGGCAGTTCATGCCCAGCAAAGTCAGCACAACAGTCAGGAAATTCATTTGCTAGAGAATTCGTCATTCCTTTTGACTACAATTCTTTCTAGGTTCTTGTGGGGTGTTCTCCAGGTGTGTGTTAGTCATTTGGTCACTATAACAAAATACCCGAGGCACCTAACTTATAAATGGAAAAGGTTTCTTTGACTCAGTTTTGGAGGTTCAAGCCCCAAATTGGCCTCTCGTGAGGACCATGGATGGCAGTGGCAGAAGAAAGATCACACAGGCGGCGGGGGGAGGGGGGGCGCAGGCTGGTCCCAGCTCAGGCTTTTGTGGGAACTATTGTCCTAGGCCCCACCTCTTAGGTTTAAACCCCTGGGTGAGTTCAGGAGCCATTACCATAGTCAAGCCACAGCCAAGTGATCTCAGTTCATGAAACGGCTCCCACAGAAGAGCCTTTTCTCTGAAAGCAAAGAAGCCTTAGGATCTGCATCCCGGATTTCGTTCCTGTGTTCCTGAAGTTAGCAGGTGAGGCAGGCTGCTATTTGTGTCCCACGCTCGTGGCTGAACCAGCGCTGTCTCTGCTGGATTTCCTAGACACGCCGTCTCAGCGCGTTCAGTTCATTCTTGGCACCGAGGACGACGAGGAGCATGTGCCGCACGAGCTATTCACAGAGCTGGATGAGATCTGTGTGAAGGAAGGAGAGGACGCCGAGTGGAAGGAGACAGCCAGGTGAGATGCCATCGAAAAGAGCCTGGGTGGGCGGATGGGTCGTATCTCTTTCCGCAAGGGACAGACCTGCTTGCCCTTTCTTTCTTTTTGGGAGAAGCAGGGGCCTGATGCTCCAGGGTCCCCCATGGGGGGTCTTGGTGTTGGTCTCTTTCTCATGCCATGCTAAAGGTCAACTGGTATAGAGAAGCCAGAACTTTCAGGAGGTTCTCTCTCCTTTGTTTGGGGCCCAGAGCAAATTCATGGGCCATCTTGGTGTTATAGGTCTGGCTTAGAAGATGCCAAACAAAGCCAAATGGTTGGAACCTAGCCCTGCAGACACAGTACAGGTCCTGAGTTTTCTGCAGGTGAGCGTTATGGTCATTTGGTTTTTTTTTGTTTTTTTTTTTTGTTTTTTTTTTTTTTTTTGACAGGCAGAGTGGACAGTGAGAGAGAGAGACAGAGAGAAAGGTCTTCCTTTGCCGTTGGTTCACCCTCCAATGGCCGCCGCGGCCGGCGCGCTGCGGCCGGCGCACCGCGCTGATCCGATGGCAGGAGCCAGGAGCCAGGTGCTTTTCCTGGTCTCCCATGGGGTGCAGGGCCCAAGCACCTGGGCCATCCTCCACTGCACTCCCGGGCCACAGCAGAGGGCTGGCCTGGAAGAGGGGCAACCGGGACAGAATCCGGCGCCCCGACCGGGACTAGAACCCGGTGTGCCGGCGCCGCTAGGCGGAGGATTAGCCTAGTGAGCCGCGGCGCCGGCCGGTCATTTGGGTTTTAATTCACTGGCAAGTGCCAGAGGTTTTGAGGTTTGAACTTCCTCTGGGACAGTTCAACCTCACAGAGACTCTCGGGTGTATGGCCAGCCTGATACTGGACTTCCTGGGGTAGCTGACAGTCAACTCCCAGAAGAGCCCCCATATGAACCAGAGCTGTTTCTTGGCTCCTGATGTAACCGACCAGCGAGCCTCACGAATGACACAGAGCCGGGACCTCAGGGAAGAAGAAGGGTAACTAACACAGCAGAACTGCAGTTTTCACTCACACAGCTGTCCTGATACCGCATTAAAAGGCAGTTAGTGTTTGTCATTCAGTCTTTGTAAACCTCTGCAGGTTACATAGGCACTGATAAAAAGGAAAATATTGTCATTTTATTCACGTGACTTGTCAGTGTGTCCCAGTGATATATAGATTATATCTAGTTTTGATTGAATAGGTAATACATGCTAACTACAGAAAATCAGAAAATAAAGATAAGCGAAAAGAAGAAAGTGAGAGGCTCCTTGTAATCCCACTGCTCCAGGGCTAATGAGGAGGGTACGATTTGGTGTCTTATACACACAGAAGCCAAGTGAAGCGCCTTTGATCTCTCGGTGTCAAGTACTGCAGAGAGGTCAGGTGGGAGGGCTGGAGACGCTCCTGGGATCTAGCACTGCGAAGTTAGTGATGGTTGTGTCAAAAGCAGTTCCACTGGGGAAGCCAAATTGCAAGGGGGCTAAGAAGTTTTTCTTTTTGAGAACTTCTAAGTGATAGGAGAAGAGAAGAAGGAGGCAGTAGATAAAGGGAGATCTGATACAGCCATCCACTCCGTTTCAGATTTCCTTTAAAGAAAGATGGGATTGAGGCAGGCATTTGACACAGGGTTACATGCCACTTGGGATTCCTGTGTCCCATACTAGAATGCCTGGGTTTGAGTTCTGGCTGTACGTCCAATTCCAGATACCTCCTACTTTTCACCCTGGGAGGCAGCAGGTGATGGTTCAAGTGCCTGGATCCCGTAGGTGGGAGACCAGGGTAGAGTTTTGGACTCTTGACTTCTGCCCAGCCCAGCCCTGGATGTTGTGGGTATTTGAGGAATGAACCAGTGGGTAGAAGATACCTGTCAGTCTGTCTCTCTGTCTTTCAAATAATAAATGAATATATTTTTAAATGGAATTACTGTACTCAGTCTTGCACTGTTCTATACGTTTTTTCATTGGCCAACGTACATTGAACATTCGCTTTTACAATGTTCAGTATAACTTTCAGATGCTTTTCTCAGTGGCTGGTTTTAAAGATCTGTCTCTCTTGTCTTGGTTGTCTACCTCATTGTCTACCTTTGGCATCTGTATGTGTCATGCTTTCAGGTGGCTGAAGTTTGAAGAAGACGTTGAGGATGGGGGAGAGCGCTGGAGCAAGCCGTACGTGGCAACCCTGTCCTTGCACAGCCTCTTTGAGCTAAGGAGCTGCCTTATTAATGGAACCGTCCTCCTGGATATGCGTGCAAATAGCATAGAAGAGATTTCAGGTAAGGTCAGGTGAGGGAAAAGAGGCACTCTCGTGCCCATTAAGAAGTGCGCGGTTGTGTGTCCTTGGGCAAGCCACAGACCCTCCGCTGTCGGGTAGGTTTCCAGCCAACAGACAACTTTACCTGTTTCATGTGCTTGTTATGGAATTCAGATGACCAGTCTTTAGACTTCCATTTGCCTTCTCATTTAGCGAGCATTTATTTGGTACCTACTGTGTGCTTGATGATGTGCCAGGCACAGGGAAATAGGAAGAGTCTTCAAAAAGTGGAAAATGTGTTTTAAACCTAAACCAGGCCGGCGCCACGGCTCACTAGGCTAATCCTCTGCCTTGTGGTGCCAGCACACCGGGTTCTAGTCCCAGTCGGGGCGCCGGATTCTGTCCCGGTTGACCCTCTTCCAGGCCAGCTCTCTGCTGTGGCCCGGGAGTGCAGTGGAGGATGGCCCAAGTGCTTGGGCCCTGCACCCCATGGGAGTCCAGGAGAAGCACCTTGGCTCCTGCCTTCGGATCAGCGCGGTGTGCCGGCCACAGCGTGCCGGCCACGGCGGCCATTGGAGGGTGAAACAATGGCAAAGGAAGACCTTTCTCTCTGTCTCTCTCTCTCACTGTCCACTCTGCCTGTCAAAAAATAAAAATAAATAAAAAATAAATAAAATAAAAAACCTAAACCAGGCATAGGTTTCGAAAAGCATTTTGCACCAAAATAAATTTACGTTAACATTTTGATTTTCGGCTGGCACCGCAGCTCACTTGGCTAATCCTCCACCTGCAGCACCGGCACCCTGGGTTCTAGTCCTGGTTGGGGTGCCGGTTCTGTCCTGGTTGCTCCTCTTCCAGTCCAACTCTCTGCTGTGGCCTGGGGCAGCAGTGGAGGATGGCCCAGGTCCTTGGGCCCTGTACCCGCATGGGAGACCAGGAGGAGGCACCTGGCTCCTGGCTTCGGATCGGCATAGCATGCCGGCCGCAGTGCGCTGGCCATAGCAGCCACTTGGGGGGGTGAACCAACGGAAAAGGAAGATCTTTCTCTCTCTGTCTCTGTTTCTCTCTCACTGTCTAACTCTGCCTGTCCAAAAAAAAAATTGTTTTTCCACAAACTTTCTGAAGTCCCCTTGTTGAAATGAGACAGTTCCTGCCTTCTGGGAGTTCACCTGCTGGTGGGAAAGTAGCCCTAGGAGCAGCAGTTAAAGTAAGTGCAACTTGGAAATGTGCTTAGAGAAAGAAGCAGTTTGGCATTTTGCAAAGGAAAGAGTTGCAGAGAATGAAAGGTGTTAAAATACGACATCCAGGGCGGACAAGTCGCAGTGCACCCCTTTCCTCAGCACAATGTGAAAGGCAGAAATGTGTCCGGCCAGTGTCGATGTGATTGAGTATTTAGGGACCATGTTTTGGGAGCTAAGTTGGAAAAACACCTGGTTGCATATGGGGACTTCTCCTTCCAGCTGGCTCTGTTCAGCTGGACAGGTTAAAGATTTTTCCTGATCTTGCTCCATTTCAAGTACCCAGGAGAGGAGTCAGCACTGATGGGATCCTGGGTCCCCTCTTTTCCAAGAAGATGCCCAGAAGTTCCACTGATTGCCTGGGAAAGATGGAACTCACTGGGGTCACATCCACAATTTGCTAACTTTTGGCTCCGTGGCTAAAGGAGAGACCCTTGTGTCAGGTAGAAGAACCCGTGACAGCTTTTCTTTTTATTTATTTTGAAAGAGTTACAGAGAGGGGTAGGGAGAGAGAGAGAGAGAGAGAGAGAGAGATTGATTGATTTTCCATTTTACTGCCCAGATGGCTTCAATGGCCGGTGCTGGGCCAGTCTGAAGCCAGGAACCAGGAGCTTTATCCAGGCCTTCCATGTGTGTGACAGGGGCCCAAATTTGACCATCCTCCGCTGCTCTTTAGCAGGCCATTCGCAAGGAGCAGGATCAGAAGTGGAGCAGCTGGGACACAAACCGGTGTCCATATGGGGTGCTGGCATCTCAAGCGGTAGCTTTACTTGCTTTGCCACAACACTGGCCCCATCTTTTCTTTTCTTTTCTTTTCTTTTCTTTTCTTTTCTTTTTCTTTTCGTGTTTTTTTTTTTGATTTTTTTTTTTTTTTTTTTTGACAGGCAGAGTGGATAGTGAGAGAGAGAGACAGAGAGAAAGGTCTTCCTTTGCCGTTGGTTCACCCTCCAGTGGCCGCCGCGGCTGGCGCGCTGTGGCCGATGCACCGCACTGATCCGATGGTAGGAGCCAGGTGCTTCTCCTGGTCTCCCATGGGGTGCAGGGCCCAAGGACTTGGGCCACCCTCCACTGCACTCCCTGGCCACAGCAGAGAGCTGGCCTGGAAGAGGGGCAACTGGGACAGAATCCGGCGCCCCAACCGGGACTAGAACCCGGTGTGCCGGCGCCGCAAGGTGGAGGATTAGCCTAGTGAGCCGCGGCACCGGCCCTATCTTTTCTTTTTAAAAATATTATTTATTTGAAAGGCAGAATGACAGAGAAAGCAATCTTCCATCCACTGGTTCACTTCCCAAATGGCTACAACAGTCAGGGCTGCGCCAGACCAAAGCCAGGAGCTGAGAACTCTCCCCACGTCTCCCACATGGGTGGCAGGGACTCAAGTCCCGGCGCCATCACTGCCGCCTCCCAGGTGCATTAACAGGGAGCTGGATTGGGAAGCTGAGCAGCCAGGACACAAACTGGCACCCAGTATGGGCAGTCATCCCAAGCAGGGGCTTAACCCCATATCGCTTCAGCTTTTGAAACTGTTGATAACTCTGTGTGAACAACAGGGAGCCGCTGGTGCGTGGGTGACAGTCAATCTTGCATATTCAGAATGTAGTGATGAAAGCGATACAGAAGGTGAGTTGGAGGGAGAAGTGGGCTGGGCTGATAGCAGTAGTTGCCTGTACCACGGGCAGTTGGCAGGAGGGAGTGGAAGGGAGGGCAGATGATGCCCCGTGAGGCTGCGGAAGTAGAATTAATGCAAACAGTTTGGCAGAATGGGGAGAATGAAAGAAAAAGAATTTAGGATTCTGAGTGTGGTTTTGTTTGTACTTAGTTCTGAAGGTTTGCGGGACGTCTCGATGGTGGTCTACTGGGTAATTGGAGCTGGCACTTAGAGGTGAGAGCTAGGCTAGGATATACTTTTAGGAGGTTACCAGTCCATAGGCAGCTGAGATTAGGAAAGGAGAAAAGATCAGAAGGCTGTGACAGAAACTGGGGAGCTACAGTGTTTAAAGGTGGCTTCTGATAGGTTGGAGTAAGGAAGACCGCCAAGGAGACTGAGGAGTGCTTGGGGAGGTTGGAGGAGACTGGGGAATGGTCATGAAATCTGTGTTTGCTTCCTATGGCTTCCCACATGCACGGTCAGTTAAAAGGACAGAAGTTGTTTTTTTTCTCTTTCTCTTATAGTTCTGGAAGCCAGAAGTTCAAAATCAGAGTATTGCCAGGGCCTTACTCTCTCTGAAAACTCTAGGGAGAATTATTCCTTGATTCTTTCAGCTTCTCGTTTCTGGGGCCCTCCGTGTTCTTGGTTTTGGGCTGCATAACTCTAATCTTGGCCTCTGTCTTCACATGCACTTCTAAGTTTCTCCTGTGTGTCTTTTTTTTTTTTTTCAAGGATATTTTTTCTTGGATTTAGAGCTTACCCCAATAATCCAGGAAGATCTTATCTTGAGATCCTTGACTTAATTACATCTGCAAAGACCCTTTTTTACAAATAAAATCACATGCACAGGTTCTGGGGGAGGTTGGGTCATAGACACATCTCTTGGAGGCCACCATTCAGCTAACTGTAAAAGCCAAGAGAAGAGATGTTGCTGTACCAGTGTCAGAAGCTGCAGAGGAGACAGGTCAGATGAGCACTGGAACCACCCACTGGATTAGCAGCTAGGACATTAGTGATGGCTTTTTCCAAAGAAGCTCCGTGGGGGCAGTCAAATTGCAAAGGGCTAAGACATTTTTCTTTCGAGAACTATTAGGTGACAAGAGAAAACAACAAGGAGGGAGTAGATGGAGGGGGATCTGAGATGGCCCCTGGGGTGGGAGTTCCTGAACCATGATTATAGAATGGAAGGGTGGAATCAAAGAAACAGAAATATGTATCTTTGACATGAATGTGGAGTAGATTTTCCTCACTGATTGCTTCTAGCATTTGGATAGCCATGGGTGAAGCTAGAAATTGACAATAGGTTGAGGTTTGGGGAGAGGTATGTAGGATTGAAGTAAAATGATCATGGGTCTCATATCGGATAGCTGATGCTTTCATAACGTTGGTGATAAGGACAGGTGATCCGTATCATCTGATTTTCCACAGCAGTCTTCTAAGATGGGGTGATTATGTTAGCTCCAAATTACAGATGAGGAGACTGAGTTTAAGAGAAATTACTTACCTTGCCCAAGATCGCATAGCCAGAAAGTTAGAGAACTGGGATGGAATGTGGGCCTGTAGCTCCAAGGCCCCTCGTGTTAGCTGCTGTGCCCACTGCCTCTCAGCGTCAGGTACTGGGATTTTTCTCCCCCTCAACTCTGTTGGTCTGGAAAGGTTAAAGACATGTCTGGTGGTAATTGGGGTGAGCAGCCAGTTAATTATTCTTTTAGGTTCCACTTTCAAGTAGCTATTTGGTGTTCTTCAGTAATAGTTCCTATTTAGTTATGAGAGAGAGAGAGAGAGGGAGGGAGGGAGGCAGGCAGGGAGGATGCAGGCAAGCACTCCCATGTGCTAGTTTACTCCTCAAAGCCCACAGTAGCCAGGGCTGAATCCAGGAGCTGGGAATTCAGTCTAGGTCTCCTGCGTGGGAGAAGCAAACCCAGAAGCCACCGCCACTGTCTCCCAGGGAGGGAAGTCAGAGTCAGCAGGTGGATCCGAGTGGAAACCCAGGTGCTCTGACATAGGGCACAGGCATCTAAGCCAGAGTCTTACCTGCTAGGCTAGTGCCTGCCCCTCTGTTCCTCTTGATAACTACACCAATGCGAAAATTTTGGCGGAAGAGACTGTGGGGGAAGTCTGGCAGATGACAAAGAAGGTAATAATACGGGCTTTCAAGTTAGTCCTGGGTGTGAGTCCTAGCTCTGCAACTTATTAGATGTGCAACCTTGGGGAATTTTGTAGGACTTAGGCCCTCCTTTCCTCATCTGTAAAAATTGTTTTAATAAAATTTATTTCTCGAGGTTATAAGGATTAGACTAGATAATATATGTAAGTTTTGCAGTGTAGTTTCCGGCACATATTACATGCTTAATAGTTTCAATTCATAATCACATGAACAAGGTGTGACTTCCTGCAGCCATGGTCTCAACGAGCTCTTGCAGACCCTGGAGCTGAGCGGCGTCCCCTGCCTCTCGCCCCACCCCCAGCCCCAGGCCCACACCGAGGTGGCCTTTGTGATTGCGCGTTCACACGAGTGCCTGCTTTGCAGACCTGATCCTGGACCAGCAGGAACTGTTCAGTGACCTGAGCGACAGCATGCGGGTGAAGGTGCGGGACGCCCTCCTCAAGAAGCACCACCATCAGAACGAGAAGAAGAGAAGCAACCTCATTCCCATCGTGCGCTCCTTCGCCGAGGCCGGCAAGAGGCAGTCTGACCCGCATTCGATGGATAGGCACGGTGAGCTCACTCGGCACAGCTGCTGTCTCCATTAATGGGCCGCATGGGGACTGGCAGGAGGTGCTGCGTCACTAGGAAGTAGGGGCTGTATTTGTCAAACGTATTTCTGTGTCCGTTTAAGCCATCTGGTGACTGGTGAGATGTTAGGGGCACTGGTGCCCGTCTTTCTTGTGGCGCTAGATCTCTGAGGACCCAAAATAAGGACTTGTTCCCAAGAACTGATGTGGCTGTTGGTAGGTAGCCACACTGGGGATAAGGAGGGACCAGAGAGGGTCAACTGGAGCATTCTGGGAGTAAGCAAACGTTGTAGACCAGGGAGGCCAAACACTGTAGTGTAGGCTCTTGGGTCACTCGTAGGCTCATCATTCTGGTTTTACCCCATGAAAAGTGGGTGACAGTGGGCAGTCTACTAAACCTCTTTCAGGTCCACTCTCACTTGTAAAGGAAGGGTAGCAAACAGACCTAATCCCTAAGTTTATTGTGAGGCTCCAATGAGTGAAGCCAGGTGAAGCCCGAGCTAGTGCAGGGTGGGAGGCGGACACTCAGTGAGTTTCAGCTGCTGATTGGTTCCCCTTTCCGTGGCCAGGCGGGTGCTCATCTGTGGTCTCCTGGCCACCACATGTGCTGCATCACGGTGTGCAGGACACCTGCCTGGACTCCATATTGTGAACAGGTTTTCCACTGGGGCCTATTGTCCGTGCCTCTGGTTAAGGATTAGCGCCTTACTACAAAAATCATAAAAGAGGGTTATAAATGTGTTAGGAAGAAGGGTCCCAAGTTATCAGACCTTACCACTGAGGGGTAGGCAAGGAGCTAGGTGTGGCTTCATAGGCATCTTCTCCAAGTAGGCTCAGCAGAAGACATAGCCAAATGGAGATGGGTGGCTGGTGGGGAACTGCTGGGGGTGGGGGAGGGCAGTGACTCAGGATTCTGCTTGTTTTTCTCCAATTAGGTCAAACTGTGTCTCCTCAGTCTGTCCCAACTACACATCTCGAAGTGAAAAATGGAGTGAATTGCGAACACAGCCCTGTGGATTTAAGCAAGGTGAGCAGAGATGTGGGAAGTTGGCTTCTAGGCCTCCGTCTATCTCCAGTGAGCACGGAGTCGCCTTGCTGGAACCCGGGTGAGCTTCAGTGTTTCGGAGCCTCCCTCCACAGAGCAGGGCATCTTCTGCAGGAAGCGAGGCCCCGTGCTCCTGTGCTCTGCCTCCTGGCTGGGCAGGGCCAACTCCTCGGAGCGTGCTTCCAGATCCAACGTGTTGACATGCTAGACGCACGTGCCAGCCCACGCCGCCTTCCGGTTCTTCTGTCAGTTTTGGTACCTGCTCTCCTGTACCTCCTCTCACCCTCCAAAGGTTTTGCAGAGTAGTGTTTTTGCTGCTGTCTCCTAAACTCCTGAGGCCTGTGCCTGGGGTCCCCGAGGCCGAGGGCAGTAGCAGAGCCACACAGCATCTCTGCCCCAAGCCCTCGTCTCCCTGCCTACAGCCTCTCCTCTCTCCTGTCCACTCGCGCACGATGCTGTCTTTTTTATTTTGTTAAAGATTTATTTATTTGAAAAGCACAGTTACAGAGAGAGAAATTGAGAGACAGACAGACAGACAGACATGTCTTACATCCACTGGTTCACTCCCCAAATGGCCAAGGCTGGGCCAGGCCAGAGCCAGGAGCTTCTTTTGGGTTTCCCCATGTGGGTGGCAGGGGCCCAAGCTCTTGGCCATCTTTGGCTGCTTTTTCCAGGCCATTAGCAGGGAGCTGGATCGGAAGTGGCACAGCCAGGACTTGAATTTTAAATTATACATTTAAAAAATAAATACAAATAAATAAATATCTATTTAAAGTCTTTTTTTTTTTTTTTTACTTGAAAGACAGAGTTAGAGAGAGAGAGGAGAGAGGGAGAGATCTTCCATCTGCTTGTTCGCGCCCCAAATGGCCACAATGTCCAGGACTTGGTCAGGCCAAAGCCAGAAGCCAGGAGCTTCTTCTTGGTCTCCCACGCAGGTGCAGGGGCCTGAGCACTTGGGCCATCCTCCGCTGCTTTCCCAGGTACTTTAACAGGGAGCTGGATCAGAGGTGGAGCAGCCAGGACTGGAGCTGGCACCCATATGGGATGCCGGCATTGCAGGTGGCGGCTTAACTTACTACACAATGCCAGCCCCAAAATAAATCTTTTTTTTTAATTTTTTTCTTTGACGGGCAGAGTTAGACAGTGAGAGAGAGAGAGAGAGAGAGAGAGAGAGAAAGAAAGGTCTTCCTTTTTCTGTTGGTTCACCCCCCACAAGTGGCCACTACGGCTGGTGCGTTGCCGCCGGCATGCTGCACCGATCCGAAGCCAGGAACCAGATGCTTCCTCCTGGTCTCCCAAGCGAGTGCAGGGCCCAAGCACTTGAGCCATCCTCCACTGCCTCCCGGGCCACAGCAGAGAGCTGGACTGGAAGAGGGGCAACCAGGACAGAATCCGGCACCCTAACTGGGACTAGAACCCCGGGGTGCCAGCGCTGCAAGCGGAGGATTAGCCAAGTGAGCCATGGCGCCAGCCAGGTTGTTCCATTTAAAAGAAAAAAAGAAAACAAACCACAAAACCGGGAGTAATGTACTTTATCTAGAGGGTTTTTGCGCAGATCAGATGAACGGTGTGGGGAGGCATGTTACCATAACGTGATGCTTCAGGCGCTGGATCCCAGAGTGCCAGCGGCTTCTTCTGGATCGCAGGTGGACCTTCACTTCATGAAGAAAATCCCCACTGGGGCGGAGGCCTCCAACGTGCTGGTTGGAGAGGTAGACACACTGGACCGCCCCATCGTGGCCTTCGTGAGGCTGTCCCCAGCCGTCCTTCTCTCGGGCCTGACGGAAGTGCCCATCCCAACAAGGTAGGGGCAGAGGGGAAGCTCCACGCGGTCCAGCGAAAGTGCAGGTCTGCCCGAGCGCTCGTGCCAATGGTTAACATCAATGCTCTGGGGATTCGAAAGTGCACGTCTGCCCAAGTGTTCGTACCAACAGCTAGCATCGATGCTCCGGGGAATGGTTTTTGATTAATCACAAGGCAGGTGCGTTCTAAGACTTTCAGGGCTGTGACCTCGCAGTACCTGCAGCCTAGAAGTGCAGATCTGAGGGGCATTCAAAGAGCATAGCAAGGGCCAGTCATTTGTTGTCATCAAAGCCCGAGTCTTACTGTCCCAGGTCTCCAAGCCAAGGTAGAGGAGTCTCTGGCCACAGTTCTGCAAAGCTTTGTATGGTTTTCACATGTGCCTGCATTTGTTTGAGAGACTGTCCCTGCGCTCGGAAGTGGGGGCTGCTGGTGATGCAGAGCCCAGTGATCAGAGGGCAGTCAGATGTCCAAACGCCAAGTGGACTCCTCTACAAGGATTGGTTGTTTCAACTTCCTTCTCTCTCTTCTCTCCCTGCTGTTTTCTTGTTAGAAAAATGAATGGGAGTCAAATAACCTTGGATTTGCACAATAAGGCCAAGTTTCTTTTAAAGATTTATTTGAAAGGCAGAGTTATGGGGCGGGGGGTTGGGGGGGGTGGGGGGAGGGAGATCTTCCATCTGGTTCATTCCCTAAGTGGCCACAACGACCAATACTGGGCTAGGCTGAAGGCAGGAGCCTGGAACGCTGTCCAGGTCTCCCACAGGGTGTCAGGGGCCCAAGTACTTGGGCCATCTGCTGTTTCTTTCCCAGGATTGCAAGTGGAGCAGCCAGTACTTGAACTGGCACTCATGGGGCATGAATTTGGCTCATATGACTTAACTGCTGTTCCACAATGCTGGCTCCAGTCAGGTTAAGTTTTTAAAAAGCATCCTTTCTATAGCCGGGAATTGTGTCAACGGACATGCTAAGAAATGTAACTACTTTATTGAATAATGTTAAACAAACAGCTTCCACTGTCCAGAGTAGGGCTGTTAGGTCCAGACAATGCCAAGTGCTCTGTCATTGGTGTGTCTCCTTTGTTTTGGTGGCACAGTAATTATTCTGTTAGATAGCAGAGAAAAATGTCACACTGTTTAGAGAGGAGTAAGCTGTCACCTCTCTGTGTTTGCTTAGTAGTTTCCTCCTCTGTGTGTCCTGCCAGGTTTTTGTTTATCTTGTTGGGTCCAGTAGGGAAAGGCCAGCAGTACCACGAGATCGGCAGGTCCATGGCCACCATCATGACAGATGAGGTACGTGCAACTTCTCCTTTCCTTTCGTGAGTGCTGAGTGCGTGTGTGTTCTGTGTCGGGCGCTGTGCTGGTTTCAGGGGGAGAATCACTGCAATTGCAGCATCTGCCGGCCAGCAAGCGGTTCCGAGCGCTCTGCTGAGAGCTGGCTGAGGAAGGCTAAGTCCTCCGGGGATTTTGCTTCCTTATGGAGTGATCAAGGATGCAGAGAACCTTTTTTTTTTTCCTGGGAAAATTACTGCTGAGTGTGATATAGAGGGAGAGATATTAAGGCTGACATAACTTGCTAGAAACAGAAAGTTAACTAAATGCATCCAAGCTGTTCACATACAGAAACCTCACTCCCTTTCCACGTAGATGAAAGCAGTTGTCTAAGGTCAGGGGTGTGGCCTCAGGCAGGGTAGTGTGAGTGTGCTGACTTGCCTGTGCCAAGGCAACCAGACTGGGTGCATTGTGCATTCCCTGGTGAGGACGGTGCTCAGCCGCAGAGCTGGGCTGAGAACACATGTGTCTTAGTGGACACAGAGAGGCGTGAGCCATGTGTCCCCAGCCCGTCACCATTGGGAAGCTTAGCTCCTTACTCATTAGGAAGTCCATCGTCTTCCCAACCATTAAGATCAGGAGCATTTTCCCTGGAACCTTTCTTTCCTACTTTGTGTAGCTAACAGAATTGTACAACTTGAGAATCACTGCTTCTTACATTAGCATACATATATTTAGTTCTCTTTGACCCATATTCATTTTTAAAAGTCCTTCTATCCTGACATTTTTCTAAAGTTTTCTGTCTCACAGATCCCCATGACAGAGGTAAAAAATAAGAGGCTTTGTGCATCCATCCCTGTATCCTCCGGTGATGGTTTGCCCTTGCAGCTTTCCTGAGGGCTTTTTCTTCCTGTAGATTTTCCACGACGTGGCATATAAAGCCAAAGAGCGAGATGATCTCTTGGCAGGCATTGATGAGTTCCTAGACCAGGTGACAGTGCTGCCTCCAGGAGAGTGGGACCCCTCCATTCGAATCGAGCCACCCAAAAACGTCCCTTCCCAGGTAATGTATGTGCGTTAGCCCAGCGGCTAGTGCTGCCAATGTCACTGCAGGGGCCTGACAAAGCAAAGATCACGTGGGTCTACCCTGAGCCCAGAGACGGCCCTGCTCCAGGGCACCCAGGCCATCAGAACTCTGACACTAGCGCAGCTGCAGGGACACAGACTGGCTCAGGTGTGACGGGGTCAGGCAACCTTGCAGATTTGAAGACTGATGTCGAATGGCAGGCATTCTTAGGAGTATATCGTGTAGGAAGCCCTCCAGTGAAAAGACCAAGTTGTGCAGAAAGGGCAAATGAAGTTCTTTGAAGGTGGAAAGAAAGCTCCCATGGTGCACCAGCACCAGGCCATGTGTTTTGTGTGCGTTCAGCCTCCCCAGCAGCATTCTCCTCCCCCTGCCCCCAGGATGCTGTTAGCCCTGGTTGTACACATGACGGCCAAAGCCATCTCCCAGGGCAAGGTGCAGAGGCAGAATGAAGATCGCACAAAGCAGATTTGCAGCTGAGACTTAGGTCATCTCGGCTGCCCCCATTTCTCTATTTCCAGACAAGACACCAGAATTGACTGCTGGAAAAGAAAGAAAAATTAGGCATCCCCCCGCCCCCCCCCCCTCCGGAAAGTTGATAAACCGCATCACATTAGCAAATGCATTTGAGAGCTGCAGGCGTTTTTTGGTTGCTTTGGGATTACTTCTCCCACAGTAAATGCTGACTCTGCTAACTTTGTGGTCCTCTGTTAACAGGAGAAAAGGAAAATGCCTGGCGTTCCCAATGGAAACGTTTGCCACATAGAACCCGAGCCGCACGGGGGCCACAGTGGGCCAGAGCTTCAGCGCACTGGGCGGTAAGTCTCCCGGCATGCGCAGCTCCCTGGGCAGAGGTTGCATAAAAGAATGAGGCGTCCTCTTTGCTTGCAGCTTTCTCTGCAGTTGGAATTTAACGGCTGGGGATGACTTTAGAAACGAAACCACTGATTATGCGTATTGTGAATATGTCAAATTGTCATTCAGGTTTCTCAAGCCATCATTTTCTATGTCACTTGCACTCCTTCCTGCACAATCTTCCCTGATATGAACCCTTTTCCCTTTCCTCATCTGCTAACTCCTGCTAGCATCCTTTGTCTCAGCTCAGGTGTCACTTCCTTGGGGAGCCATCCAGGCCCCTGTAGATGAAGTTGGGTGTTCCTGCTGGGTGACGCCACAGCACTGAGCTCTAACCCCCTTTTCCCACCGTAGCCTGTATCATATGTTGTGATTGTTGTTTGAGTCGATGTCTTTCCTGTTAGGCTGTTAGCTCTCAGAGGGCAGGGGCTGCGTTCTGTTCTGGCACCTGGCCAGGACCCTGCAGAGTAGACGCTCTATTTGATGAGTGATGCCTAACTGTAGCATGGAATGGACTAGGTGCAGATAAATGCCGAGTGACCATTTCAGGTTAAGGAGCTCCCTTAGGGGAGGAAGACGGAAACTGAGATGCATGTGTCTCTGAATAGGCAGCCTACTCTTGTAGGCCAAGATTTTAAGGACAGATATCTAAGAAGGAGGCTCTTATTGGCAGGGGAAGAAAGCAAGCCCCCGAGTAGGAGGTTTGGTTCCCCAGGTGAGAAGGTGATATTTGGGGCTGGCATGACATGCAGAGGTGTCCCTGGACCTTGGGAGGAGGTTCAGGCTGTGGCTGTGGCTCTGTGAGTTACGCTGTGTCTCAGCAGGATCTGCGGGGTGGAGCTGGGACCACAGAGGCAGCTTTACCTTCTCTACTCTCTTGTTTGTTTGTTTCAAGATTTATTTATTTATTTGAAAGTCAGAGTTACACAAAGAGGGAAGGAAAGGCAGAGAGAGAGAGATTCAATTGATTCACTCCACAGTTGGCTGCAATGGCTGGAGCTGTGCTGATCCGAAGCCAGGAGCTTCTTTCGGGTCTCTCACAGGTCTCCCAGGACTTGGGCCATCTTTTACTCTTTCCCAGGCCATAGCAGAGAGCTGGACCGGAAGTGGAGCAGCCAGGACTTGAACCGGCACCCATATGGGATGCTGGCACTGCAGGTGGTGGCTTTACCTGCTACACCACAGTGCTGGCCCCTCCCTTGCTTCTTCTTCTTCTTCTTCTTCTTCTTCTTCTTTTTTTTTTTTTTTTTTTTTGACAGGCAGAGTGGACAGTGAGAGAGAGAGAGAGAGAGAGAAAGGTCTTCCTTTGCCATTGGTTCACCCTCCAATGGCCGCCGCGGCCGGTGCGCTGTGGCCGGCGCACCGTGCTGATCCGATGGTAGGAGCCAGGTGCTTCTCCTGGTCTCCCATGGGGTGCAGGGCCCAAGTACTTGGGCCATCCTCCACTGCACTCCCTGGCCACAGCAGAGAGCTGGCCTGGAAGAGGGGCAACCGGGACAGAATCCGACGCCCTGACCAGGACTAGAACCCGGTGTGCCGGCGCTGCAAGGCGGAGGATTAGCCTAGTGAGCCGCGGCGCCGGCCACCTCCCTTGCTTCTTTCTTTTCTTCCTCCCTTGCTTGGAGTTGCTTTCCTTATTCTTCTAGCCTCAGTCCTCTGATCACTGGAAACACAGGGTTGTTTTGGAATTGTGGGGATCAATGTGTTTTTCCAGTATTGGAAATTGAGGACGAAGCCAGGGGAGGAGACAGGGAACCAGGAGGCATGGCACTGCACTAGTGGGGTCCTGACCGGAGTACACGTCTGGTTTTAGGTTTGTGTTTGAGGGTGCAGGCAGATAGCTCTGCCCTGGAAGGGAGCATTGGTGGAAAGCAGAAGCCCTCTGATTGGAGGGAGTCTCAGAAAAGAACGACCACCCAGAGTGAGCGAGGCCTTTCCTTGGAAGTTGGGAGAGCTCTGAATTGGGTGGGGAGGCCAGGTCCTGAGCGGCAGGTCCGGGGAAGCATCTGCCCTTGGAACGGATCCCAGGACTGAGACTGTCCTGGGGAGGTAGTGCTTACTTCAGCATGGATTTGATCATTTTCCAGAGTTACAGTTTACCTTTTGTATATAAAAGTTAACTCCCTAGGACTTCCGGAGTTTGAAAGTAGTGGATTTGAGGGCAAGAGGGTGTCTTCCCAAACACAAGCCGTGCAGAGGTGCGGTTTCCAGGAAAGCAGAGTAAACTAGGATCCCAGGCTTTTTGAGAGGGCTCCTTTGTGCTCAGTTGCACACGGGGGGTCAGGAGACCAGGAGGTTGGCTCAACAGTTATTAGATCTCAGAAATGGTACCTGATGGCTGGAAAGAAAATCTCAGATTGCCAGGACCATGCACAAACCATAGGTACTCTGCCTCACAAAGTCAAAGGGGGTTTGAAGGTGTTCTTACATAACGTCGTGTCAGAAATTTCTGGAATTGACAGAGCTGAAAGGAAGCCCTGGGCTCAGAGCTTACTTCTGCTTGGCCTGAGAGACGATGTTTCCTCTTCCTGAGCTGCTGGTGTTTTCCTTTGAGCCCTTGGTAAAGGGTCTCGAGACACATGCCCTTCCTCCTGTGTAGGCCCTTCGGCCTGTTGCCTAATGCCTGCATCAGGCGTCACAGTTCCAGGCCAGCCCAGGTGCCTTTTCTTTCTTTTTTTTTTTAATTATTATTTAAGAAAAAATTATGTGAAAGGCAGAGTTACAGAGAGAGGGGATGAAAGAGGGAGAGAAAAAAAAAATCTTGCATCTGCTGATTTACTCCCCAAATGGCCACAATGGCCAGGGCTGGCCCAGGCCAAAGCCAAGGGCCAGGAACTTCATCCAGGTCTCCTATGTGGGTGCAGAGGCCCCAAGGATTTGAGCCATCTTCTGCTTTCCCAGGCCATTAGCAGGGAGCTTGTTTAGAAATGGAGCAGTTGGGAATTGAACCGGTGCCCATATGGAATACTGGGGTTGCAGGCAGGCGGCTTGACCCACTACTCCACAATGCCACTCCTTCTCTGCAGGTGGACATCCTAGAAGTTTCTGGACCTTCCTACAGTGCACATTCTAAAAACACATTATCTTGGCCAGTGCCGTAGCTCACTTGGCTAATCCTCCGCCTGTGGCGCTGGCACCTCGGGTTCTAGTCCCGGTTGGGGTGCTGGGTACTAGTCCCTGTTGCTCCTCTTCCAGTCCAGCTCTCTGCTGTGGCCCAGGAGGGCAGTGGAGGATGGCCTGAGTGCTTGGATCCCTGTACCCGCATGGGAGACCAGGAGGAAGCACCTGGCTCCTGGCTTTGGATCAGCGTAGTGCCGGCCATGGCGGCCATTGGGGGACTGAACCAACGGAGGGAAGACCTTTCTCTCTGTCTCTCTCTCACTGTCTATAACTCTCTCTCTGTCTCTCTGTCTCTCTCACTGTTTAACTCTGCCTGGCAAAAGAAAAAAAAATTATCTTGGGCTTTATGAATCTTCAGGCCATTTATTGTATTTCTTTGACATGCAAAAACCTGTTTTATGCATATTGTGTTGTACAACCTTGGGCAAAACTTGAGACTAGGGCATTGTTGTCCTTGTTGCATGGAAAGGCACTCAAAGACAGGGTAGAGTAGACTCAGAGGTGGGAAAGGAAACCGAGTTGAAATCAGTACTCCGAGGTCTGCGTTTTGTGACCCTCCGTGCCATCAGACGGGTGTCCTGATTCTCTCTGATGCTGACACTGGCAAGGACACCGCGTGTAGCAAAGAAGAAGGTGTGGCCAGACTGTTCCTGGGCCAGGAGAGCCACGGCAAGTAGGACACCCTAGAAAGGGGTTTTGCAGCATTGATTTATGCCCCTTACCAGGGATGCCCCTTTGGGGAAGGATAAATGAAAAGAAGAATGAGGAGCTTTATCTCGATGACCCCCCTCCTCCCACACACACTTCAAACAGGGGTCCTCCGAGCACACCAGGCAGATGGCGGGCTGGCCGGCCGGAAGCCCTCCAGGGAGGGGCTTCCTGTGACCCTGTGCACGGCTGAGCCCTTTCTTGCATCAAGTGTGAATACGGATGCCTGTGTGCCTTGTGCCCCAACACCAGGACATCAAGGGCGGAGTTGAAAGGGAGGGGACGCCTGAGACCTGGAGAGGAGCCTCCATGCCTGGTTGATGCAATTAGGGTCTGATGTTATGTGTGCATGAGGTATGAGGCTGACTCTGTAAACTGCTCAGATTAGTTTATTGATCTATGGTTATGCTGTCAGTAGGAGCCTCAGATCCCCCCACCGCCACCCCCCAGTCACCACCAGGCACAGATGGCTTCCTCTCTGGCTTCCTCTCTCTGGCTTCCTCTCTCTGGCTTCCCGTGTCTCCTTTTTGCACAAGTCTTTCTTTCATCCTTGCTCACCCTGAAGACACCTCCTGTACCCCGGGCCTAAGTGGTCACAGTGGCCCCTCAGGGGTCTGAGTGGGGCAAGGCCCACTATTGCCGAAGGAGGCCTTTCTCCCAGAATCCTGCGCTTCCGAGGAAGCTTCCTGGTGGTGAGGAGCTGCTCGCCGTGCAGTAATAAGATGCTGTGTTTTCTGTGGACCAGAAACACTGGAACTCGCCCTCGGGAGTCACTGCTGCGTGGGAAGTCCTTGCGGGGCTGCTTTCCCAGAGGAGAAAGTGTCGCGACCAAGTGACGCTTTATTGCTAACTGGAGCCTTGGTCCCAAGCATGCGGTGGAACTTCTGTGATCTGGCTCAGAGCCTGCAGATGGCTCCAAACTTTACCCGAGCTAGGTGGGGCCAGAGCAGGCCAGACCAAGCAGCTCACAGGCTGGGTTTGGCTCTCTGTCCTCAGCCCAGTCCCAGACTGCCACTGACTGCTGTAAGTTGAGGAAACGTGAATCCCAACTCCACCCACCAACGCCAGAGACAGAGAGCGTGTTGGGAAACAGAACAGTGTCTGGCCTGGGTCCCTGGACACCCATGGTCCCTGACTGGGGGAGGGCAGGGAGGGGAGAAGAGCACTGGCCGAGCCTGCTCTCCTGATGTGCAGATCCCAGGCCGCCTCACTCCTCCAGGCTCCTGGGCGGGAGAGGGAAAGACAGGGCTGGCTAAGCCTTCTCCCCTGAGTGGGCTGCTGCTGTTTTTGCTGTTTTGGTCTCTCTCTATATCTATATCTATATCTATATACACTATATATATACATACACACTATATATATATAGAGAGAGAGAGAGAGAGTAGTATAAGAACTCCACACACCCACTGTTACCAACATTTTGCTAACCCTGTTCCATCCATTTCTTTCTACCTTTATTATTATGTTTTCTAGATTGGTTTTAAGCCAAATCACCAACTTCGTATCATTTCACCTGTAAATACCTCAGTATGTATCTCTGATAAGGACATCAATAAAAATAATTATTATGCCGCTACAAAATCTTACAAAATTAACAGCCATTCTCTAAATTGCCTAACGCTCAGCCCGTATTAAGCTTTTTTTGTGATTATCTTAGTATTGTCTTTTAGAGTTCATTGGTTTGACCCAGGGGTTGCTCAAGGTTGGTGCTTGGTTACTCTGTTCCCATTCGGTAGTAGCCCTCTTCCCCCCAACCCCATACAGTGACTGCCCACATCCAGGAGTGCTCCCCCTCCTCCGAGCGGGATCTCCTGCCCCTGGTGTGTCCTATCCCTGGGGGAGTGGAAAGGACCCTGCAGTCCTTCCCCTAAGTCCTCTAGAATCTCCCCCTTGATTAACCCTTGAATCCACTCACCGCTCCTCCTCCCAGTCCACGCCCCCTTCTTCACATCGGCACAGGAGTGATCCTTCCAGAATGCTCCTGTTGATGGTCTTGCAACAACTGAGCATAGTGTTGGGATAAAGCTCTAATTCCTCAAAACAAGGTGCTTTGAGACTCAGCTCCTCCAACCCCACACACAGGATTATCCATCATGCTTCATGCAGCACCTCGAACCTGTAACGCACTCTCACACCTGGGCATTACCCCTGCTATCTCCTCTGGCCCAAAAGTGCCCCTCCCTGATCTGTGCTGCTGCATCCCCCTCCCGTCAGTGCCTGCCCCCCCCCCCCCCCCGCCACTGGCTGTTGGTCCTGGGGAGCAGGCTGTGGCTCTGTCTCGCTCACAGCTGCATCCCCGGTACATGGCTCAGTGCCCATGCCTGTATCTGCTACTCCTTGTCAATTGCATGAATGAATCATGCTGATTTCTCAAGAGTAAGGAGCGTAGTTGTTCACAGTAGGAAAGAGCCTGGGATGGAGGTTTTTTAATGTAGACAACACGTAATAAAACTAACAGCTTTAATATCTTGAGTTGGTTTTTCACATTTGCTTTTAACAGCCCAGAATTTAAGCTAATCCTTGCTTTCCTGTTAATTGTTTTTGAGTTCTTTAACTTGGTACCATAATAAATGTATGCAAATTCATTATTTTTATGCTTGGGATAATCATTCAAATTTAGTCTAAGTCCTGCTTTTGGTTGCAAATAGAATCTTTGCTGACTCCAGAGAGCTCTCCTGTACTTGGTGTGGGGTTGAAGCCAAAGCATCCCGTCACTGTCACTGCTACGGAGCACTCTGAAGTGCTTTTCTGAAGGTAGTTAGAGGCCTGCCTGCCGTGTTTCCACAGGCTGTTTGGGGGCTTGGTGCTGGATATCAAGCGGAAAGCCCCCTGGTACTGGAGCGACTACCGGGATGCGCTAAGCCTGCAGTGTTTGGCGTCCTTTCTGTTCCTGTACTGTGCCTGCATGTCACCTGTCATCACCTTTGGGGGACTGCTCGGAGAAGCCACGGAGGGACGCATAGTAAGGACTTTTAATCACTCTTAATCGTTCCAGCCAGGTCCTTTGAGGGGCTGGGGGTGGAGTTAGCTGGGCTTGGGCTAAGAAGGTCAGATTCTTTCTCCTGAATTGCTGTGCCCTTCTGACCACCTACCAAACAGCCATGTGCTTCTCCCCGGAGAACCGACCCTCATCTGCCCAGGGGAAGTGCCTCTGGCCCCAGGGGTGGACAGTGAGTCTATTGATGCCATTTGAAAGTGAGTCCGGGCCGGCGCCGTGGCTCAGTAGGCTAATCCTCTGCCTGTGGCGCCAGCACACCGGGTTCTAGTCCTGGTTGGGGCATTGGATTCTGTCCCGGTTGCCCCTCTTCCAGGTCAGCTGTCTGCCCTGCACCCCATGGGAGACCAGGATAAGCACCTGGCTCCTGCCTTCGGATCAGCGCGGTGCGCTGGCTGCAGCGCGCCAGCCTCGGCAGCCACTGGAGGGTGAACCAATGGCAAAAGGAAGACCTTTCTCTCTGTCTCTCTCTCACTGTCCACTCTGCCTGTCCAAAAAAAAAAAAAAAAAAAAAGAAAGCTTGTGGGGCAGACGGCACCCTTGTCCTGCCCATAGATTTTTTTAAAAAATTTTTATTTATTTATTTGACAGGTAGAGTTACAGACAGTGAGAGGGAGAGACAGAGAGAATAGTCTTCCTACCATTGATTCATTCCCCAAATGGCCACCACGGCCAGAGCCGCACCGATCTGAAGTCAGGAGCCAGGTACCTTTCCTTGGTCTCCTACACGGGTGCAGGGGCCCAAGCACTTGGGCCATCCTCCACTGCCCTCCCAGGCCACCCTCCACTGCCCTCCCAGGCCACAGCAGAGAGCTGGACTGGAAGAGGAACAACTGGGACTAGAACCCGATGTCCATATGGGATGCTGGCGCCACAGGCGCAGGATTAACCCAGTACACCATGGCACCGGCCCTGCCCATGGATTTTTGAGTACTAAATGGAGTCACTGAAGTATAGTCCTTAGTTGGGGAATTGGACACGGATGGATTTGGCCACTTAAATCATTAGAGAGGAATCTGTGTAGTATGTATTACGTGGTGTATACACATCCCTCTTGGTCAGGTGAACTGCAGGCAGGTTGCTGTCGGGGCACCGGGAAAGGGAAGGCAGGAATGGACATAGGCAGACACTGCCTTTTGCTGACGGGCTGTGAGCTGTGGACTCACTGATGCCTTTTCTGCTTTTTCTTTCCCTCCCAGAGTGCAATTGAATCCTTGTTTGGAGCCTCCATGACCGGGATTGCTTATTCCTTATTTGCGGGACAGGCTCTCACCATCCTGGGAAGTACTGGGCCAGTGCTTGTGTTTGAAAAGATTTTGTTCAAATTCTGCAAGTAAGACATTTGCTTTTGTGACATGCCTAACTGGGTCTGGTGATTGTGCTGCCAGGGCTGAGTGCCAGGGTGCAAGGCGGGTCTGAGCAGGCAGATATTATTTAGGAGTGTAAGGAACTGCAAGGGAGAGCATCAGTTGGTCTGCAATCCTGCCCCCTGGGAGCAGCACACCTAAACTAGCAGGCTGTCCCTCGGCCACCATGGAAATCTTGACTTTGCATTTTTTAAAAAAAATCTCCCTCTCTAGTTCAAACTCCTCCATTTCCATCTTCATTTAAAAAATATTTTGTTTGAAAGACAGAGTTACAGAGAGGGAGAGGGAGAGAAGGAAAGAGAGAAAGAGAGAGAGAGAGAGAGAGAGAGAAAGAAAGAAAGATCTTCCATCTGCTTGTTCACTTCCCAAATGGCTGCAATATCCAGAGCTGGGCCAGACTGAAGCCAAGCAGCCAAGAGCTTCATTCAGGTCTCCCACATGGATGCAGCGGTCCAAGCACTTGGGCCATCCTCCACTGCTTTTCCAAGCACATTAGCAGGGAGCTGGACTAGAAGTGGAGCAGCTGGAATTCAAACCAGTGCCCATAAGGGATGCTGGTGCTGCAGGCAGTGACTTAAATCACTGTTCCACACCGCTGGCCCCTCCATTTCAACTCTTAGAAGATTTATTTATTTATTTATTTATTTGAAAGGCAGAGTTACAAAGAGAGAAGAAAGAGAGAGAGAGAGAGAGAGAGATCCGTAGGCTAGGTTACTCCTCAAATGGCTACAACATCCTGAGCTGGGCCAGACCGAAGCCAGGAGCTTCACCTGGGTCTTCCACCAGGAAGTAGAGCAGCTGGACTTGAACCAGTGCCTGTATAGGCTGCTAGTGTCACAGGCAGTGACTTAATCCCCTGTGCCACAATACTGGCCACTTAAGTCAGTTTTTTAAAAAGATTTATTTATGTATTTAGAAAGCCAGAGTTATAGAGATAGAGGGAGAGACAGAGAGGTTCCATCTGCTGGTTCACTCCCCAAATGGCCACAATAGCCTGGCCAGGCCGAAGTCAGGAGCCAGGAGTTTCTTCCAGGTCTCCCATGTGAGTGCAGGAACCCAAGCACTTGGTCCATCTTCCACTGCTTTCCCAGGTGCATTGCTGGGAGCTGGATCAGAAATGGAGCAGCCTGGAGCAGACACAAACACGCGCCTACGTGGAATGCTGGTGCTGCAGGCGGCTTTATCCACTAGGGCACAGCGCCAGCCCCACCCTCCTTTCTATTCTGGTTGCTCGTGATAACAGGGGCTTAGAAATGCCCTAATTTTTCCACTTTCCCTATAAAAATCATTTTCTTCATTTTGTTTAGAAGTGGGAGCACATGGGATTAGGCTGAGCCCCTTTTTCTTACTGCAAGAATAACAGTTGTATGAGACAATAAAGGCAGAAGCATTGTAGTGAGACGATTCCCCCCTCTCTGCCTCCCATAGCCTGGCTACAGGGAGCAGCACTCGACCTAGCTGTGCTCAGGACCTCAGTGGGCAGAGAAGCTGAGCCGCGATGCTGCTCTGGGGATGAGATGAATTAGCGCGTTTCCCACCGCTGTCTCCTGATGCCACCCTGTGGTCTCATTCCAGAGACTACGCACTTTCGTACCTCTCCCTGCGAGCCTGCATCGGCCTGTGGACCGCCTTCCTGTGCATCGTCCTGGTGGCGACAGACGCCAGCTCCCTGGTCTGCTACATCACCCGCTTCACCGAGGAGGCCTTCGCCTCTCTGATTTGTATCATTTTCATCTACGAAGCCATAGAGAAGCTGATCCACCTGGCGGAGACCTACCCCATCCACATGCACAGCCAGCTGGACCGCCTCAGCCTCTACTAGTGAGTGTGCTTTCTGCTCTGGCAGGTTTGGGGAAGCGCCAAAGGCTTGGGTTGAGCGCTGATGTGTGCCAGGCAGCGCTGGGAGCTTCCTTGGGGGCAGTGTCTCGGGCCTCCTGGCAGCAGGGCTCCCGCGTGGCTGAGGAGACTGGGGGGTGGCCAGGGGCCTGCAGTCAGAAGCGATGATGGAGCACTGCTTTCCAGCATGTCTTCCAATTCTGGGCATTCAGGCACAATTAAGCTGCCCAGACGGCAGGGGACTTGTGAGCCCGTGGGTTACAGGATGAGGTGAGAGCTTGCTCTCTCTCTCTCTCTCTCTCTCTCTCTCTCTCAAAGTGTATAAGGGCAACTAGTAGAACACTTTAGGTAGAGATGTATTAATCATGCCTTTCTGAGCCAGGGGTTTTTCCCACCAATCACACACACCTAGAAACACAGACTTCAGTATAAGAGACTGGGTTTTCTTCAGGGTTCAACACAGTTGGATCAGCTGGAAAACTGAACCCGTAGCTGGCTGGGTTTGCAGCCACCTGGGCAAGGCTGGCCTGGTAGGTCGTTTCTGCTCTGTAGTAGCGTTCTCCAGATCATGACTGGAGCTCTCTTCCCTCAGCTCTGAACATCAGGTGCCTGCCCCTCTGGCCGTCCAGTCTGTTGTGGACGATCTGGTTGCAAAGCGAACAGTTTGAACCTGAAGCTGCTGGAGAGAAGTGGAGCCATCTGCCAACCAGCCACACACCCGCTTCTCCCTGCTCCGGTTATCCATTCAGTAACCTTTATCCACAGTGCATTCAGCTTCTTAAAGGATTCTGTAAAGAAACAACGGTTAGGGAGTATAACGTCCAGAGCCTGGTGACTTTAACAGATTATTGAGCACCTGTTATGTGCCAGGCACATTGCAGAGGGAGAAGACAGAAGGCACCAGCCCTGGAGGAGCAGGCCTTAGATCTAGAAAGTGTAATTCTTGGATGATCAAACCCAGCGGGGTGTTTTACTGGTTCCTGTGGAGCAGCTATGAAGCCAGAACCCCTCAGCTCTTGAAGTGCTTTGATGTTAATAGATATGGAATGGATTTTTTTAAAGATAGGCTTTTTAAAAAACAGATCTTGAAAAAATAGATATAAAAAGCAGTTTTGGGTTCACAGCAAAGTTGGACAGAAAGTGGTTTCCATATGTTCCTGCCCTGACATGTGCACAGCCTCCCCACCGTGGGCGTCCTGCCCCAAAGGGTGTGTTGGTTATAATCAGTGAACCTAACCTAGACCCACCAGAGTCACTCACAGCCCACAGTTTACCTTTATAGTTTCCTGTGGAGCCCTGGGCCTGGGTTTATACACCCAGGCTTAACTCTGGGTGTTGTGCCCTGTATGGGCTTTGACAAGTATACAGTGACATCTTTCCTGTTGTAATAATGCAGAACAGTTTCACTGCCCTAAAAGCCCTCCCCACTCTGCCTGTTTAACCCTGTCTCCCTCCCCACTCCTGACGACTGTTGACCTTTTTACTGTCTCCATGGTTTTGTTTTGACTTTTCTAGAATCTCATAGAGCTGGATTGGTTGTGTGGCCTTTTCAGATTCCTTCCTTCTCTTACTAGTATGCATTTAAGGGTCCTTCTTGTCTTTTCATGGCTTGATAGCTCATTTTTTAAAAAAGATTTATTTTATTTATTTTATTTGAAAGGTAGAGTTACAGAGAGAGGGACACAGAGAGAGAGAGAGAGGGAGAGAGGGAGGAAGGGAGGGAGGGAGAGAGAGAGAGGGAGGGAGGGAGGGAGAAAGAGAAGAGAGCTTCTATCCACTGGTTCATTCTCCAAATGCCTACAATGGCTGGGGATGGGCCAGGCCAAAGCCAGGAGCCAGGAGTTTCATCCGGGTCTCCCACATGGGTTGTAGGGGCCCAAGCACTTGGATCATCTTTCACAGGCCATTAGCAAGGAGCAGCATTGGAAGTGGAGCAGCAGGACTTGAACTGGTGCCCGTGTGGGATGCTGGTGTCGCAGGCAGCAGCTTAACCCACTGAGCCACACCAGCAGCCCCAGCTCATTTCTCTTTAGTACTGGATGCTTTCCCACTATCTGGTGCACCACAGTTTATTTTCCCTCTCACCTACCTAAGGAAATCTTGGTTGCTCCCAATTTTGGAACTGATTTTTAAACCTGAAGGTAGAGCTTTGTAACTTTCCCTAATTGCTTTTTATTTTCTTAATGACCTTCTATGATTCTAATCTGTTGAAACGTTTTTGAATTTTCATTCCCTCACTGCATTTTAGGAAGTGTGTTGATTAGATTCACAGATGAATTAAAGTTAACAGGTGACCATACCAGCAGGCAGTTCAGAATGAAAGCATGCCCCGATTGGGAGGCAGTGTGGGAGCTGGCGAGACAGGCCTGGTCCGGTCTCGTCTGGTTTCCACGGAAGAGGAGGCCTGGGGATGACAATGGAGTAAGTAGCCAGGAAGTGGCCAAGGCAGTGGGACGTCACCAAAGGATACTGCGGTGTCAGGAGGAGCTTCCCTCACAGTCCCAGGAGACTGCAGTTTTGAGGCTAACAGCCTGATGGGGGCTAAAGGGACTGAGATCTCCAGGCCTGGAGGGAGTTGTGCAGAACTGACTCGGGGGAGCAGGACCTCTGTGCTCTGCAGACTGCACTTCACCTGGGGTGTGGCTGAGCCTACAGATGAGCCTCACCTTAGGGATCTAAAGCACGCCAAGGAGAAGTGACAGCCAAGGCGGCAAGCATTCAACTGAGTGTGGCTGCTTTCCTTAGGCGTCTCCCTCCCTCCCCCCCGCAGCTGCAGGTGTGCCCCCCCAGAGAACCCAGACAATCACACCCTCCAGTACTGGAAGGACCGCAACATCGTGACAGCAGAGGTCGGCTGGGCCAACCTGACCGTCAGCGTAAGTCTCCACACGCGCCCTCACACTCTGGCCACGGGGACTCCCGGGGGAGGAAGACAGGGCAAACTCTGGCATTGATAGAAATAAAGCTTTTTTTGAGGCAGGGATAGAGGGGAAGAAGCCTTATTCTTATTGACTTTGCTTTTCCCTTGCAGAAGTTCTCTTGTACATAAAAAGACAAGAAAATTCCCCCTCTCTTTTCTCGCACTCACGCCCTCCCAGTAACCCTGCCCGAGGGCTGTGCTCTCGTGCCGGGCAGGGGCAGATCCCGGCTCTGCAGGGCCTAAGGACTGTTCGCGTTCGGAACCCCCGTCATACAAACAGCACACAATGCTGCAGCCCTCCCAGGGCCTTGGAAGTGGCGTTTCTTCAGGACAGTTTTGGTTTCTTTTTTTTCTTTTTTCTTTTTCTTTCTTTTTCTTTTTCTTTTCTTTTTTTGACAGGCAGAGTGGACAGTGAGAAGGAGAGACAGAGAGAAAGGTCTTCCTTTGCCACTGGTTCACCCTCCAATGGCCGCCGCGGCCGGCACGCTTCAGCTGGCGCACCGCGCTGATCCGAAGGCAGGAGCCAGGTACTTATCCTGGTCTCCCATGGGGTGAGGGCCCAAGTACTCGGGCCATCCTCCACTGCACTCCCGGGCCACAGCAGAGAGCTGGCCTGGAAGAGGGGCAACCGGGACAGAATCCGGCACCCCGACCGGGACTAGAACCTGGTGTGCCGGCGCCGCAAGGCGGAGGATTAGCCTAGTGGGCCGTGGCGCCGGCCTGGTTTCTTTTCTTTCTTTTTTTTTTTTTTTTTTGACAGGCAGAGTGGACAGTGAGAGAGAGAGACAGAGAGAAAGGTCTTCCTTTGCCGTTGGTTCACCCTCCAATGGCTGCCACGGCCGGCACGCTGCGGCCGGCGCACCGCGCTGATCCGATGGCAGGAGCCAGGAGCCAGGTGCTTTTCCTGGTCTCCCATGGGGTGCAGGGCCCAAGCACCTGGGCCATCCTCCACTGCACTCCCTGGCCACAGCAGAGGGCTGGCCTGGAAGAGGGGCAACCGGGACAGAATCCGGCGCCCCGACCGGGACTAGAACCCGGTGTGCCGGCGCCGCTAGGCGGAGGATTAGCCTAGTGAGCCGCGGCGCCGGCCTGGTTTCATTTTTTAAAAAGAGTATTATTTATTCGAACGGCAGTGAAAGAGGAGAGACAGTTTCTTCATCCACTGATCCATTCCTCAGTTGCCCTCAACAAGCAGGGCTGGGCCAGGCTGGAGCTAGGAGCTGGGAACTCAATGCAGATCTGCCACATGGCTGACAGAGGCCCAAGCCCTTGAGCCAAAGCCTGCTGCCTCCCAGGGTATGCGTTAGCTGGAAGTTGGAATTAGAAAGCACCACCACGCCTACCACCTGCCCCTCTGGTCCATCTTACAAGTGTCTCAGGACTCGTCACCCTGCTTGAAAGGGGCCTGTGCAGGTGCAGGTCCCCCAGCTGCACGGAGGTCCCATGGGCCTGCTCTCCCCAGTGGCTGTGCGGTGACAGCGAGCAGTGGACTCAGAAGGCAGCAGCTTTTCACACCTTCACCTGTGCCTCTTGTCCCCCAACATGCTGCCTCTCTCCCTCCAGGAGTGCCACGAGATGCACGGAGAGTTCGTGGGGTCCGCGTGTGGCCACCACGGGCCCTACACGCCTGATGTGCTCTTCTGGTCCTGTATTCTCTTCTTCACCACCTTCATCCTCTCCAGCACCCTGAAGACCTTTAAGACGAGCCGCTATTTCCCAACCAGAGTAGGTAGCCCGCTCCTGGGTTTCCGTGCTGGTAGAAAGCTGATGCTGGAGAGAAAACCCTGCCGTTCCCCTGTGTGCTGTGCACTGGTCGGCCGGCTGGAAAGCTCCCCATGTCCCTGTGGGGACGCTGTGGCACACTCTTCTCTGGTCCGGCAGCCTCTGTCATAGATGGGCCTTGTGGAATGAGGACACTGCAAACCTTTTAGATTTCAAGGCCTCACTATGTTTAAGGTGGTAGTTTGTTTTGTAAAAGGTACCAAGCCTCATTTCCCCATGCGGGTAAGTTTCCCTTCCAGAACCCTGGGACACTCAGCGTGCAGTCGCTGGAGCTGGCTCGTGACCGTGGTCACCTGGGGTGATTGCCTGGGGCAGCTCCGCCCACGAGAACCCAGGCCACGCTTCACTATAGCGCTGACACGCTCCTGACTTGCTGTTTGGGGCTGAAGCCCCAGCAGCCTTTCCCTGATGCGGCTTGCATTGTGTGTGGGGCGAGCTGGACTTTTGCTGGGTTGGGCTGGGCAGAATTCAAGGCCACATGGAGGGTCGCTGAATGACCCACTGCTTTGAAAGGGAGCCCCAGGTAGGAGGAAAAGGTGGCATTTCCGTGAGTGAGGGCTCACTGAACAGGGTCGTGAATGGGGGGAGAAGCTCCATCGGGAAATAATGTTTCCTGTGTGCATATGCACAGCATAAAGCATCCCTAGACTTTAGGAAGAAAAGCCTTAAATAAGGTCTAGGTCTTTTTTTTTAATTTCTTATCTGGACACATAGTTAATGACTTGCCATCGGGCTTGCTCAGGTCTGGGTTAAGCGCTACAGGGGATGCAGAAGTTGAACAGATGGTGTCCGCCATCAGAGAGGGCAAACATGTGAACCAGTCAGAGGCCACAGGAAGTAGTCAGATGCCACCAGGAGAAGCCTTTCAGGTAGTGAGATGAGCAAGTGCAAAGGCCCTGAGGTGGGAGTGAGCCTGCCATGTTGAGGGAACACAGTGGGTGTGACTGGAGCTGAGCGAGCAGAAGACAGTTAGGAGCTGGAATCAGAGGGCTGGTGATGCCAGCAGTGCTGGCCTCATAGGCCAGGAAGGCCTGGGTTTTTAACTCAGTGAAATGAGTAGCCGCTTTAAGGTTTCACGGGAATAACACGTGAACTGAAGTTTTGAATTCGTCCCCAGCAGCCGCCTTTGAAGAAAGCTGTGGAGGACAAAGTAGAAGCGAATCAGGTGACTTCCGTAGTTGCCCAAAAGAGCCAACGGTGCCTTTGACCTGGAGCCGGGGAGGTGGCAAGAGGGGCTCTGAATCTGAATCTGAATCTGGATGAGCCACAGGCAGCACTGACAGGACCCGCGGGGGACCAGACCCCAGCATGAGGGACAAGGGGAGTTAACGCAGCCACAGAGGTTCTCGGCTAACACCTTAGTCCTTAGCTGGTCCAAGTTTGCAGACCAGGGCCAACCCTGAGCCTGAATGCCCTGAGCAGAAGTCTTCGGTTACTTTGGGTGTACCCACACTCACACGTCGTCTGACTGTGCCTGTGTTCATTCAATAGCAAAATGAAAGCCTTCTTCAAGGACCTTAAGAACTGTTCCCTCACAGTTACTCTCCAATTCTTTGCCAGGTGCGCTCCATGGTGAGTGACTTTGCCGTCTTCCTCACCATCTTCACGATGGTGATTGTGGATTTTCTGATTGGCGTCCCATCACCAAAGCTTCAAGTGCCCAGCGTGTTCAAGGTGAGCAGACCTCAGGGTGCTGGCTGCCCTCTTGAGCTTTCATAGAATCTTATTGCAAATCTTTCTCGAAAGCCTTCGTGTGTCCTCTTCCTAAGATGCGTTTTGCAGTCAAGGAAGCCTGAACCTTGCTCCTGACACCTTGCCATTCAGCAAGGCAAACTCTCCGGGCTTGGCTGAGTTCCAGTGAGAAAAGCCAGAGAGAACAGAGAAACTAGGTTGTGTAATGAGTGGAAAGTACTGCTTATTATCCCTAATGCCATTTACTGTTTTTCATGTTACGATTTAAAACAGGGAGACTTCACAGTTAAGACCCCAGGTCAGATGCCTCATCTCACATCCAAGTGCTGGGTGTGAGGCCCAGCTCTGGTTGCTGACTCCAGCTCCCTGCTAATGCAGACTCTGGCAGGCAATGGTGATGGCTCAATAACTGAGTCCTTGCCGCCGCCCATGTGGGAAAGCTGGATTGAATTCCTGCTCTGGCTTTGGCCTTGGCCAATCTCTTGTTAATGTGGACATTTGGGAAGTGAAATTTTCTTCCTTCCTCCCTTCCCTATTATACTACATGGTCCCCAGCTCCCAAGACCCAATCCAAAGGCCAACACTATTATTAGGGGTTATAAAGTCACAAAGAATTGAAGAAAAGTTTATATAGATCTGAGAACATAACTACCAGTTAGAACATTATTACTAAGGGAACTTAGATTCTATTTTAGAATCTAACTCATTCATAATTTGGGACCTAGTGGTATTGTTAAAGAGTTTGTGGGTGCCGGCACTGTGCTGTAGTAGGTTGATCCTCTGCCTGCGGCATCTGTGTCCCAGATGAGCGCCAGTTTGAGTCCCGGCTGCTCCTCTTCCGATCCAGCTCTCTGCTATGTTCTGGGAAAGCAGTGGAAGATGGCCCAAGTACTTGGGCCCCTGCACCAGCATGGGAGACACAGAAGAAGCTTCTGGCTCCTGGCTTTGGATCAGCTCAGCTCTGGTCATTGTGGCCATCTGGGGAGTGAATCAGTGGATGGAAGTCCTTTGTCTCTGTCTCTGCCTCTCACTGTCTGTAACTCTACCTCTCAAATAAATAAATAAGTAAAATTAAAATTTTTGAACCCTGGAGTCATAACTAATATGGAACCAAATGCTTTAGTCTTTGCCATGGTTGGGCCAACTCGGCCAATTTTACTAGGGTTTCTTCCAGACTGCAGCACCATTTACCAAAATAGGTGAAGGTGCCCTCCCCAGAATACCCGGGGGAGGGGGGGTGAGAACCTGGGAGAGTGTAGATGTGCCCTGAACAGTTATCTTCCAGGGACAGTGCAGAAGGTCCTAGGTCAAGCACGTCTCCAAACTGAGCAATCTTGGGGTCCTTCTCAAGCCTCTGGTACCAGGGCTCCTGTTTCACTTCTGATGGGAGAAGGGCCCTGGAACAGTCCAGTCTAAGCCCGAGAGATTCGGCACAACTGACTCTGCTCTGCTTTTCTCTGTGCCATCAACACACAATATATGGTTTCTGGAGAGAGCAGTGAGTGGGAGAGTCTAAATTTTTTTTTTTAAAGATTGATTTGTTTATTTGAGAGGCAGAGTTACAGAGAGAGGGAAAGACAGGGAGAGAGGTCTTCTTTCCATTGGTTCACTCCGCAAATGGCCAGAACTGCGCTGATCTGAAGCCAGGAGCCAGGAGCTTCTTCTGGGTCTCCCACATGGGTGCAGGGGCCCAAGCACTTGGGCCATCCTCTGCTGCTTTCCCAGGCCATTAGAAGGAAGCTGGATCAAAAGTGGAGCAGCTGGGACTTAAACCCGTGCCCATATGGAATGCCAATGCCACACAGGCAGATGCTTAACCTATTATGCCACAGCACTGGCCCCAAGTCTAAATTACTTATAGTTGTCTCTGGAAGTCTTTAATTTTTTTTTTAAGATTTATTTTATGTATTTATTTGAAAGGCAGAGTTAGGTAGAGACAGAGAGGTCTTCCATCCCTTGATTCACTTCCCACATGGATGCAACAGCCAGAGCTGTGCCAATCCGAAGCCAGGAGCCAGGAACTTCTTCCGGGTCTTCCACATGGGTGCAGGGGCCCAAGAACTTGAGCCATCTTCTACTGCTTTCCCAGACCATAGCAGAGAGCTGGATTGGACGTGAAGCAGCCAGGACTCGAACATATGAGATGCTGGCGCTTCAGTCCAGGGCTTTTCTTTCTTTCTTTCTTTCTTTCTTTCTTTCTTTCTTTCTTTCTTTCTTTCTTTCTTTCTTTCTTTCTTTCTTTCTTTCTTTTTCTTTCTCTCTCTTTCTCTTTCTTTCTCTTTCTTTCTCTCTTTCTTTCTTTCTTTTTCTTTCTCTCTCTTTCTCTTTCTTTCTTTCTCTCTCTTTCTTTCTCTCTCTTTCTCTCTCTCTCTTTCTTTCTCTCTTTCTCTCTCTCTTTCTTTCTTTCTTTCTTTCTCTCTTTCTCTCTCTCTCTTTCTCTTTCTCTCTTTCTTTCTCTCTCTTTCCGTCTTTCCGTCTTTCCTTCTTTCTTTCCTTCTTTCTTTCCTTCTTTCTTTCCTTCTTTCTTTCCTTCTTTCTTTCTTTCCTTCTTTCTTTC